TTCTGGACCCAGCGGCAGTGGAACGCCGGCTGGGCTTGCAGGCGGTGCTTCATCCACATTTGGAACGTGGCCCCAGGCACGCTTGACCACACACTTGACCAGCAGTCCTCACGCGTATACCCCACGGTACCAGCCAAGCGGGCAGCAACAGCAGAGGCGCGGACGGAACGCCACGACATCGCCGTCTACCTCATTCCGGACTGCGCCAACGCTGCAGCCACGGATGCCTACGCAAAACCGCCCGTCCCAACCGGAGCGCTGCCACCTCTTACCAGCACTGGCCAAGGCGGCCCCGTCGGGGAGAGCAACGGGTCAGAAGCTGCCCCACGGGACATCAAGTCCCTGTTCCCCGACATCTCCCCGCCGGCTGGGCCCGCCCTACCGACCCACTCCACCTCTGGGCTCACAGGGAAGGATTCGCACTGCGCCCTACGCTCATTGGTCAAGTACCTACTAGAGTGGAACCCCACCGTTTACGGGAAATGGATGGAGTACGCGGAACAATGCGGCGTCGGAGTACCGGGCGATAAGACCGACGAAGGGTCTTGGCCCCCCCAATGTCTTCGCCAACTCCTGGTCAACATCTACGGTGGTACGATCCCCGATAATTGCCCCCCCCTGACATCCCATGGGGCAGCCAGCGGGCCGCGGCGGCGCGAGTAGTGTACCACCCAACGAGGGCCAACGTGATGCATGAGACCAAGTGGCGTGCATACGCCGCCGACCTAGCCGAGCAGCGGGGCGAATGCCCCCTCCGGCAACGGCTCAGCACCCTACTGCAATACCTCATTGGAGTGGATCCCACGGCCCTCGCCAACGGCACCATCAGAGAACTGGCCAACCGAGATCCAGTTCAGACGGACATGGGCTACGCAACCGCGGCCAACTCTCCAGCGGCGTTCTGGCTGAACAGGACAGACGAGGCAGCAGGCACCCCCCAGCAGACAGCCACGGCCCAGAGCGGGAGCCAGCTCCAGGCCGCCCTTCCAGGGCAGATCCACAGACCCCAGGCGACGACGGGGCCAACGACCCTCCAGCGGAAAGGGCAAGGCTCTTGCGACCAGGCAGGCACGACCGAGGGCGGGCCGGATGCACCCAGCTGGGATGAAGATGCGGGAAGCGAAGCAGCCACAGCCACAGAAGCGAGCCCGGTTGCTAGCCCGACACCAGTCGCGGACGAAGGCGAGGAGGAATACCCCTTCGATCCCATAGGCGCTTTTAGAAACGCGCCCCCAAGGAGCAAATCCTGGACCCCCTACTCACAGACCGGCGATCGGGTTGCCGCCCTGGCGCTTCGGAGTGCGAAAGACAGCTCCGAGAAGGAAAGCAGCTCGGCCTGGGACATCACGGGGGCCAGGGGCGACCGCGCCCTCAGCCGCGCGGCAGGAGACAGGGGGCGCCACCGGCCCGCGTCAGAGGACACCAAGGACGGGGGAGGGCGTGCCGCCAAATCACCAAGGGGCATCCCCACGCGCGCGGAGAGCCGCGGGGCGCCCTCGAGGGGCGCCAGGATCGCCCAGCCACGCTACGAGAACCTGGACGACCCCATGGGTTGCGGTCCCATGTACAGGCGCACAATCGCAACTGCAGACGTGGAGAGTGACGAGCCCATACAGGACAATATTACGCGCCTGCAAAAGACGTTGGGAGGCGCATTCGATGGCATATGGCACGCATGGGTTAAGCGGGCTGCCCTGAGGCAGGACCCCAGTGGAGGCCACAAGAGCAACCCCAAGCTGAACACACCCCAGACGTGCGCAAATTTCCTCGAGGCTTGGAGCAGCGCAGGCCATGATGCTTACCGGATGGATAGTGAACTCGGGCTCGGCGTAAACTGGGCAGCAGATAGGGGCAATCACATGAACTCTATGCGCCGCGACGCCCGTGCGCATGCCCCGCGCGACTAGGGCAGCAGCGACAAGGCCGGCCCATGGGCAACCGAGGGCAGAGCTGTCGCTCCCGCGGCTGCACGGGACCGCTGGGCTGGAGCCATCGGTACAGCTACCCACAGCCAGTGGCAGGGCTGGCAGACCGCGCGGGATCGGCGTGAAGCCCCATGGACGGACTCAGATTGGAAAGGCCAAGGCTGACTGTGCCGGACACGGCCCACCTCAGCATCCCTGGTTTTCCTGCCCAAGGAAGCATCATCCCCCCTCATCGGCTCCTCGCCGCGCCGGGCTCAGGCCGCAATACCCGGGGGCAACCTCCGCTGGGGCGCAGGCTAGCCCCACATCTCACTCACGGCGCGGCATAGCTAGACAGCCCACGCTGGACATGTGGACCTATCCTCCCTTTCGGGCCCGACGCGGAGGGCCCCCCCCCCCAAGTGCCCGACATCTCGCCCTCTCGGGCGCGGCGGGGCCGGCCCGGCCCGGGCAGACAGGCCCCGGGCCCATGTACTTTGCTGTCCGACGACGACGGCCAGCCCGCCCGCCGGAGGCGGGGGGTCGGCCATTGGATCCCCCCCGCCTGCGCGGCGGCGGGCTCGACCTAGCCAGGTCGCAGTTTTGGCGAGTTCAGACTTCAGCGGCGGTTAGCTGCGACCCTGGAGGGCCAACGCCCACCATCCCCGCTGAGGCATCACTCTCCGCGGGGGCGGACCAACATCCAGCGCGGCCTGAGGTCCACGCAGGGCCCCACCCTCCCTCGGCTTTAACAACCTTCGAAGGACCCACCCACCATTTCATTGTCTTGAGCGGCGATCAGCTGCGACCCTGGAGGAACCAATAACCACTTCCCCTGTCCAACGGGTGCGGGGCCAGACCGAGGGGAGGGGCGGCGTTCCCCCCGCCTCCTCCGACCGGGGCCAGGCGGGTGTTCCCCGCTCTTGGCCCCGGGGCCCGCCAGACGTACTATCCGACGTCGGTGTTGTTGCCCCCCCTCCCTGGGCCGCCCGTGCCCCTCGCTGCGCGTGGTTTGTCTCATCGCTCTCAGCGGCGGTCAGCTGCGACCCTGGAGGACCACGTGGTGTTTGTTGACGTTCCGGGTGCTTGGGCGGAAGCGCCAGCGGCGGGCTGGGTCTGACTTTGCGTCCGATGGCCCTCGTGTCTACCACTTCGGCTCCCCCTAGGCGCGTCGCCCTATGACGTCGGCACGCCCCGCTCGCACTGGCGCCACGTGCCCCGGGAGGTACAGCTCGACCTGTTCTCTTGGGGGCCCACCTGCTCTGGTTATGTTTTGCCGTCAGGGCACCACCACTAACAGTGCAGCTCCCCCTAGTCTTCCTCGCTGGCGATGCTGACCACGCAAGCGGGCCCCCCCCCCCACTCAGTGGCCCCGCCTTGCCGGCACGCGCTGCGTGGCTCACAGTCGCTCGGGTCCCCCTTGCGCTGTGGGGTGGTCTGACAGGGGCTGGCTTTGGTTCAGAGTGGTACAGCCTTCCGCAGCAGGTACAGCCCCCCGGGCCCACCTTCAGCTTCCCCAGTTGCGTTGCACCACGGCTCACCACTGTTCAGCCTCTTGGCTAGCTCAAGTCGCCAGGGCGTCTGGGGCCTGGTGCCCCACTGGCGACTCACTCCAACGGCCCCTTACTTGCCATCACCCACTCCAGTGGCCCCTTAATTGCCATCACCCACCATGACGGACTTGACCATCCTGGTCCACGTCTCTACTGTGTGGGTTGCGCCATGGCAAGCACTAAATTCCGATACCCTTTGTCCTGTGCGTTTGCTGGAGCTTGCAGGGCGCCGTCCGCCGTCAGCTCGTCCCCCTCAGCTTCGCGGCTGCTGTCTGAGTGGGCTGGCCGGCCTGCGCCTGTTTTAGCTAATTCGCCTAGCTCGCGTACCGGACTTTGCTCTTGCCGCCTGACCGTCGTCTCGCGGCCGCGGCCGAAAAAAAAAACACCAGCGCCTCCACGAACGATGCCCAGGGAAGTTGCCCTTTTATCGGGGCAGTGCGGCATCATTGGAAGAGCTCGGCGAGTCTCCGTGGGCCCGAGGCTTCTTGAACGCCTCTTCTGAGTCTTTTTGGATGTCCTGTCGGCGTCTCTGGAAGGCCTCTTGGGGCCTTTCTTGGGGCTTCCTGGCGGCTCTTGGGGCTTGGGGCGACTTGGGAGCCTCTTGGAGGCACCTTGGGACGTCTTAGAGGGCCTCGACGGTCTTCCTGTGGCCTCTTGGGGGCCGTTTGGTCGCCGCTTGGGGGCATCTCGGGTGCCGCTTGGGCGCCTCTTGGGGTTGACTGGGCGCCTCTTGGGGCACTCCAGGGGTTCTCCTGGGAGCGGTTCTCGGTCCGTAGTGGGGCCATCTTGAAGGAGATTCATTGAGGACGGGGTTGGAAGGCTCCATTACCATCAACACCGCAGGAACCCCAAATGAGTTCAAACCCGCGGGGAACTCCCTGATTTTGACCTTTTTGCCGATGCCTTCTTGGCCGTTCCGACCGCTCCCCGCCCCCCTTACGTCCAGACCCAGGGCGAGGGGGCAGAGGGAGGGGTAAACCCTTCCTGGAGGAGAAGAAGGGGAAGAGTCCCGGAAGGGGACGCGCCCTAAACCACCCGCGGCCTAGAAAGGCCGTTGTTTTTGCTTGCGTGCGAGAGCCCAGCTGTGACAAGGAGCCGCCCTCCGCCCGTGCAACAATAGCACGATTGGGGAAGTCGGGTCCTGGAGTTTGAGGAAATCCCAAACGAGGGCACTAGTTACGAACACGGATATGCCTCCATCCTTGGAACCATGTGGAACTTGACAGCGAATGTGAGCAGCACAAAACTGCCAGCCCTCCATCCTTGTGACTGTTGTGGGCGTTGGCTTCAGGATAGCAAGTTGCAGGGGTGACTCAAGCGAAACGACCGACGCGCCTGGTGGTGCGACGGGCGGCGTGGTGTATCCGAAGGACGAGGACGAGAGGGCAAACACGGGGACGACGACGACGCCGCCGTCGTCGACGCCGTCGTCGGTCGTCGACGACGTCGTCGTGCCAGTCTGGCGCGAGCGGTGCCCGAGGGCGGGGCGGGGGCCCGCAGGCCCCGCCCCCTCCGCCGACGGCGCGGCCCAGCGCGGCGCAGC